GACTCCGATAATTCTTCTCGCCATATTGACCACGGCCTGAAAATGGATCCCGCTCCCACTTCTTACGATAACCTCTGCACAAAATTGGCACTCTAGCTTCCTAGCACTCAGTAACTCTCTCAAGAGTACATTAACGCTGTGTCAATTGTGGTTTAAATGTCACGAAAATACGAAGTCATTTGTTATTAAAAACTGTTCTTGTGAAAATAAAAAACCTTTATATCTTAAAAATACGGACTTTTTTTAAACCAAATCCTTAACCATTTCATTCTTTTACTTGCATATTATCATTTCCACATGCTTTTATATGTGGGCACCTATGGCCGAAGTGTCTATGAACGGTGGGCATTCCCCTTTGACACATTTTCCATACGATGGAACCAATCATTGATGCAACCATTCCATTCGGAAGTTGGGGTCTCCAAAATGGCCGTTTTGTAGGCGTCCACAGCTTCTTTTGGTGATGAAAATCTCTGTCCACGCAATTTATTCTTTATTTTAGGGAAAGTATAGAAATCATTAGGGCTTAAGTCGGGGCTGTACTGCGGATGGTCTAATAATTCTATGTTTTCTTGCTCTAAAAACTCTTGTTCTGTGTGCGGTGTGAGAACTCGCATTGTCGTGATGGAGGATGATGCGGCGGTTGCAGTTCTCTTTACGGAGTTCAGAAACGACCTGTGGCAAACAAATGCTAGCATACCATTCTGCATTAACTGTTCTTTGTCCCTCAAGAGGAATAGTCGTAACATGGCCGATTTTGGAGACAAACGTGGCCACCTTTTTTTTTGCAACACTCCGTGAACGAACAATTTTCGTTGGCTTTAACTCATTTTCGAATACCCAAACTCGTGACTGGTTTTTTGTTTCGGGTTCGTACGCGGTTTTTGCTCTTCACAGAGCGAATGCGGTATCCATCGGGAAAACAACTATTTTACACCTAATTGTTCATGCAAGATTATTTGTATTTGACTCATGCCAATGTCTAAAGTTGCCTGAATTTCGCGGTATGTCACATGTCGATCTTCCTCAATCAGCTTACGCACAGCATCAACGTTTTCTTGGGTGACTGTAGTTTTTGGACGACCTTGACGGGGATCATCACTGAGCTTTACACGTCCACGTTGAATTCAGCAAACTAGCGATCAATTGTGGTTTTGGATGGGGCTACACCACTAAATGCAGAAATCATCCGGTCAACACACTGTTTTTGTGTTAAACCACTTCGAAAGTCATAATAAATCATCGCTCTTGAATTTTCTCGAGTCAATTCCATTTTCTCAACGACTAAACAAGTTTGACAAAACCTTGTGACAAGACCGAGAATCTTTTTTAAAATAAATAAATGGTATTCAATTTAAAAAAAAACCAAGGAGTTTTCAATTAAAAAGATTTTAATATGACGGGAATAGTGGAAATATTTCATTCCCGATACTTTTAGTGCAGCCTATGTAAATATTATGATAAATCTGTAGAATAGTTGTGTCTGTAATTTTAATATCTTCTGAAAAATAGATCTAGAGACTACATAAAGGAAAGTGTCCGTCCGAGACTACATATAAAGGCCAAATAAGTAATTTTTGAAATATGTTTCTACCAGTGTATTCATTATATACACTACTGGAAAAATTTCCTTAATTTTTGTAACTCTCTTTGAATTATTTTATTTTCTACTGGTAAATTAGCACATCTAGGATCGCCATATAAGCTCGAAGAACCGAAAACCGACGGGAAAGAAAGGTTCTCGATTGGCAGCCTCGTACTGGTAGGCGAAGTGTGTCGCGTTTGAAAATAACAATTCCTTGCAATTGAAAACAACATCGGTTATAATAATATGGCACCGGGTTGTCCCATGGCAACATGCATTTATATCATCAGTAGGACAATTTGAAGAGATTCGCATAAAGAAAATTGAGGTGGAATAGTTTTCGGTACTCATGCGCCGATTCCTCCTGAAGTATTTACATCTTGTATAATTTTTACGTAGTAGAGACTCGCTGTTGGTGTATTTTGACGAACGCATCGAACACGCTCGAATGCACGTACGAATCGCCTCGAACACGGTCACATATAATAAAAGTTAACGTTACAGCGTATATAAGTCCTACTTTCTCACAAGGTTATGGAGGAATTAGTCCGCCGTATAACGCATGTTCTTGATATGTTCTCGAAATATTTTTTGCACGTTTCTTCGTGTTATTTTCCTGCACCGTCGAGTATGCTGACGGGAATCCATTCCGGATTGCTCGCATACTGTGTTTAACCCCATGATCTATAAAGGCTCGTACAGAATAACACCGTGAAATGGCAGCATAAGGCTGTTTTGCGCTTCGTTAGTGGTGAGTGACAAAAACAAGGCAATGTGGCAATTCATCATAGTAGTCAGGGTCGACAACTCACATGTATTTTGATTCTTAATTAAGGATAGACGGCCGTTTGTTACCCTAAGTTCATCATTATCATCATCATTACAGCCCTCCAGAAGTCCACTGCTAAACATAGGCCTTCCCCAAGGAATGCCAAAAAGCACGGTCCTGAGCAACCTGCATCCATCGACTTAAAATTCGTCGTTGCTTTTCGAACGCTGCCCAGCCGAGTTGAATCCGTCGATTGACCTCTCGGTCGAAGTTGGACTTACCTAGCCGAACTATTTGTCCCAGGTAAACATATTCGTCAACAACTTCTAGCTTAGTGCTCCTAGCAACTACCGGCATAGGTGTGACATGGACAATAGATAATATTATAGATATAATCTTAAATAGATAATGGTAATATTTTCTAATCTTAAAATAAAACGAATCAATTATTACATATTATTAATTAAAAATACTTATTCTACGGAACCATAAAATAGTTAATTAAATTTAATCCGCGTACCGTGAACCGTTTTGCTCACCGATCTCTAAATCAAAAGACAGGTAGGATTCGGACAAGATCATGAGTCCCCGTTCGAGTCATTACTTGATCATTTCTACCTGAGACTGCTTGAAGTTCGCAACGCACGTGAGCCTAAACGAATAACTCTCGAACTTGCTTACCTATATTTGAAATTTAAATTATTCAAAGTGCAGTTGATCCCGCTGGGATAAGCTCTTGTTTATTTAATGTAATGTAATGTTTATTTAACAATAGCAAACATTGTAACTGTTACGGCCTACGGCTGCTCTCTTAAAGGATCAGACCATCAGGGGCCCATGAGCTGAAGGCCTCCCGAGCAGACGTAGGTCGGGCTCAATGTGGCCACGTGGAAATTTTCTGGTAAGAGACAAACGAGGGGAATGTTACCACGATAAATACACTCACCTGCTCCAGGAGCGGAGACGATTCTCCGAGACCGGCCCGGCTGATGGTAGTGTTGTGAGTGTAGGTGTAATTGTATGTGTGTGTATGTTGACGGGCCCTGATCTGGATGCCGCAATGCCGTCCGGGAGAAGGTATGCGCTGGTATCTTCGGAGCGTTCCCCCTCTGGAGGCGCTCTTCCTGGCTTGTCACGAAATGGGACAGCTACACTTAGCACTTCAGAGGTAAATCACTTGTAAGGTTGCACAATGAATTTAAAGTAGTTATTAGTTCCTGATTAAAGATAAGGATCTCGCAACGATCTACACGGTGGCTACCTTCGTAACAAGTTAAGCGCGGAAAAACGTCAGTCTAGTTCGCAAGAAAAACTACACTAACTCTCGAAAGTCCTATCCCGCCGCATAAGGCGGCCGGGGGGAAAGGGGAGCGGGAGGTGACCTCGATATCGAGGCCAAGCGCGCGAGTTAAATACGTTTCGAAGGCAAAATGAATATTCTTGCATATACAAACCCCCGCCCCGGACATAAGGCATTAGGTCCGCGAGTAGATTGGCAAACGAGACAAGGTCGCGACGGCACGTTGCAAGACCGAATCTCCGACTAAAACCTCGGCCACCCTAGGTACCCCATCTGCTCCATACGACAATTTAACAATGCGCCCACGGCGCCAATACAAAGGTAGAGCGTTTGGTTCCTTAATCAACACGAGGTCTCCCACCCGAGGAGGCTCCGTCCTGTCAGACCACTTAACGCGCTGCTGCAAAAGATGTTGGTACTCCAGGGACCATCGGCGCCAAAAGCTTTGAGTCATCTGTTGCAGCAGGGCAAACCTGCTAAGCCGTGAAGCGCTCGTTTCCCTGAAGGGGTACTCGGGCAGAGAGTTAAGAGGCTGGCCAATCAGGAAGTGTCCAGGGGTTAGAACCTCCAAATCATTCGGGTCGGAGGAGAGGGGGCAGAGGGGCCGAGAGTTGAGTACCGCCTCAATTTTACAGAATACAGTGGCGAGCTCCTCAAATGTCAAAATAGCTTCACCAATAACGCGACGGAGATGCGTTTTTGCCACTTTAACCACCGCCTCGAAAATACCGCCCCAGTGAGGACACGCCGGAGGGTCGAATTTCCACTGGATGCCCCTTTTTGACATAGCATTGCCTAAATAGCTACGGTGGCTAGACAGAAACTCGACGACCTCCTTTAGATACCTATCCGTGCCCTTATAATTCGTTCCGCAATCCGACCGGATCAAGTCCGGCAACCCGCGCCGCGATACGAAACGGCCAAGCGTGGCCAAGAAGGCTTCCATGCTGAGGGCGCTTACAAGTTCCAAGTGAACGGCTTTAGTGGAGAGGCACACGAAGACGCAAAGATAGGCCTTATGCGAACGGGCGTTACGAATGTTAGAGGACTTAACGAGGAAGGGGCCAGCAAAGTCGGTTCCGACTCCAGCAAATGGTCGGATGGCCCTGACGCGGTCGGGCGGCAAGTCACCCATGAGGGGCTGCGATATGGTGGCCTTCTGGTAGAACAACTCACACTCACGGTCCAGAGGGTCGACTCGAGCGGCATGTGGTGGTTCCTCAATTTCCCAGATTCGCTGGACGGCGTCCGATAGAGACACGCCCACGACGGAGAGTGGGTCGGCCGTCGGAGGGGGAGGAGACCACATAACCGGTCCAAAAAAGCTGTGCCCAAATATCGTGGAAATGGCTGACAGGCCATCGGGCTGCAGAGCTCGTATCTCACCTAACAAGAGGACACCCAGGGTGTCGGCCCCCAGTAACAAATCTATAGGCCCAGGTTGGGCCCACCGAGGGTATGCCGGTCTCAAAGCCGACGCACAGCGTACAGCGCTGTCATTTATACGAACGTTAGGGAGGAACCCTACAATGTCGTCGAGGACATTCACCTTGACTAAAATACGAAGGTGTTCGCTGTCAGGGCTGAACACCAACTCCGCTTGTCCCCTAGGAGCAGGAGGCTCGGCACCTCCGATACCTACCATCGGACGTGATTCAGGGCTCCAGGGGAGCCCCAGTCTTCCCACCAACCGAGTAGAGGCCACACTACGTTGGGAACCCGAATCCAATAGAGCTCGAACCGTTAAGCGGTCGCCGCTCGGGTTGTAAACCTTCACTGAGGCCGTCGGCAATAGAACAGTTTGACAGGTGGACTGCTGACGACTTATAGGCTCAGTGGAGGCGGCCATGGCGGGAGCTAGGGCGGCAGCCTCCTATCTGGAGCTGCCTCTGTGGGACCGGCACCCGAACCGGGGCCCCCGAGAGCGGCACTCAGACGGCGCCTCGATGACCCTGGACTGGAATTCCCCGAACGGGCCGACCTGGGGAAACTCGGGGATCCTCGGCTCCAAGGTCCGGGGCCGATACGCCGTCTCCGGAACCCGGTAGTACCGGCACCGACCAAAGGGGGGCGGGCGGCGTTCCAGTCGCGGCCACTCAGCCAACGGGGGTGAGAACGGTCTCGCTGACCGCTGAGTGGCCGCGAATCCACTATCAACTCGCTGAGGGGGGGTGACGACTCCTAGACCGATCGGGGGAGGGACTCCCCTCAGAACGAGGGGCGCTGTGGTCCACCGGTGAGCGCCGGGCGTCGCCCGACAGTGGGCGTGGCTGGGCGCCCCCGCCCGTGGGAGTCGGGGGGCTGGCAGGGCCCTGAGAGGACGAGCCGCGCGCACCCAGGCACAATATAACGTTGTGGTTGCCCTGGCAGTGCGTGCAGGGCCGCTGGTGCGGGCAGTCTCGTTGTAAATGCCTCTCCAGGCAAGAGAAGCACCAGCGGCGCTCCCTGGCGATGGTTCGCCTCGCCGTAGCCGGCTTGCGCAACAACTTCGGGCACGACGCCGCCCGGTGGTCGGATGCTCGACAATAGGAGCAGGGAGGCGCCTCCCGGGCCGCTAGGCCACTATAGGAGGGTACTGGGGGGCGCCCTCCCGCGGGGGCTCCGCTCGGCCTCAGGGGAGTGGGCGTCGCCTTGCCCGGCTGATTCCGCCTCTCCCTGGGCACCGCTCGGGAGGCGGCCGGGGGGCCCTCGACGGCGCCTGCGGCGTTCTCCAGCTGCCTACACTGTTCCTCCAGGAACAGTGTAGGCAGCTGGACTGGAACTCGCCGCCAGGGGGTGATAGTGTGCACTTCCGGCACTGCAACGCCATCTGCGGGCGCCGTGCGCGCAACCATTACGGTTTGTGCTGTCTGTGCCTGGCAGGGCCGGTGTGGTGTCTGTTGCGCCGCGCGCCGCTGAGTGGCGCTAGGTGTGTGTCCGCACCTCAGCGACACCTGTTTAAGCTAAGTACTATTAACTGTGAAAGTGACACTTTAGCTATAGTTTTGTTGTATTTTTATTAGTTTAGGATATTGCCGCCAGATGGCGCCACTATAGTTGTAAGTCAGCGACATCTCGTGGCTGGGCTGTGATAGTGACACTTTTAGTTTTTAATTTATTTTGTACTTTATTATATTTGTTTTAGTCCGAGTGTGTCCCGCTAGAGGGCGCTTATGTGCGTTTGACATATATCTGGCGACCACTTGGGTCACCATAAAATTTTCCGGACTTAGAAAATTTTTAAAATTTTTAGGACCTTTTTGCTGCTCATATACGTGGACTATTGAAAATGCCCCTCCGGCGGCTTAATTTTCAAAGTTAGAAAGCTTCCATAACTTTTTAGTTTTTAAATATTTCTTTGTGTTTTTTGGACTGAACCACTTAAATATTGACATTGGATAGTATAAGTAGGAAATTGTGAAAATGGGGGACGAACCCCCCCTATTTGTCCCAAGAAAATCTTTGGCGCGCACGCCCCCTGGAGGGGCTTCAGTGAGGCCTGCTGGTCCCAGTATGCCGAACCCTAAGGGTGGCTCGAGCGGTACGGCTGAAAAGCGGCCTTTAACGTCCCCGGATCAGCAGCAGCCTGTGACGCAGCGACAAAAAATTGAAAAAGAAAAGGAAAAAGACAAGAAGAAAGCAGGGACTGCGGCCCCAGGCGCAGTGACTGTAGAACGGACTAGGTCAGCGCTTGAGGAGGACCTGGAAATCATGGAGGAGGAGTTTGATGCTTGCAAGGCTTTCACCCTTGCAAATAATAGAACATACAAGGGCGGCAGTAAATACGATCATGGGAATCGTCTCTGGTCCAGGATCCAAATTGAATAAAATGGAGGTAAACAAAGTTTCGGTAACCGGGCAGGACATGATTGCAATGATGGCGGCGATGCAGGTACATGTTATGGAGGCTCAGCTTGCGCTTTGCAAAGCTGAGCGGGACAAAGCAGAAGCAGAAGCGAAGCTGGCGCGCCAGGTGGCCGCGTGTATACCCTCAGGTGACGGTGACCACGCCCCAGCCGCAGGTCCAACATTTGCAGCAGCACTAAGGATGCCAAAGGGCGTTGCTGCCATGCCTATGCCGGAGAAGTCTGGTCCGGTTCTCGCCTTTTACCCAGCCGACGAGCAAGAACACCTCAAGACGGCAGACGATACCAAAGCTGAGTTGAAAAAGGCAATTAATCCATCTGAGATCAATATTCAGGTCTCTAAGCTGAGGAAGATTGGAAATGCTGGGGTTGTGGTCCAGACCACGTCCAAGGAGTCAGCACAGAAACTGAGAACTGCAGCACCACCTACCTTAAGGGTTGCAGAGCCTCGACAGCGCCAACCATTGGTTGCGTTGCGTGGCTTCGAGGATGACGTAAAGTCAGAAGAAGTCCTGCCGGCCCTCCACGACCAGAACTTTGGTGGGGATGAAAAGTGGACCCTGGAGGAGCTGAAGAAGCAGTGCAAAATTGCATTCAAGAAATCTTGGAAGGGGAGCAGAAGGACCACGGTGGTGCTACAGTGCACCCCTGCGCTGCGGGATGTGCTGACCGCCAGGTATAGACTTTACATAGGGTGGGACGTGGTCGAGCCGTGTGATTTTATAGACGTCACCTGCTGCCAACGATGCCAGCAATACGGGCACCCTGCTAAATATTGCAGGGCAAAAGAGGAGACATGCGGCAAATGTGGAGAAGAGGGTCACAGCCGAGAGGCCTGCAAATCAGCCGACACTTGCTGTGCTACTTGTCGCAGGTTTGGCAAGCCGGGGGCAAGGAACCATGCCACGATGGCGAAGACGTGCCCGGCTAGGGTGTACGCGGAGGAGAGGGCGGTCAATACTACACAGTATGGCGGATAAAAATTACTTATCAATTGGACAGCTCAATTTGGGGCGCGGCGAGATGGCCACCAAGGAGCTCCCTGCACTTGCGAGGGACCTGGACTTGGATATTTTCCTAGTCCAGGAACAGTGGCCGCAGGTGCAGGAAGTAGTACAGTTCGGCGATGGATCGCAGGCTGGTATCAAGGTCTGCAACGGAAATTTGGGTGTGGCTGGATTGCCTCACCTAAGTAATCCCTACTGTGTAGTGTGCCATGTGGAGAAGTACGGTCTCTACGTCGTCTCGGCTTATTTTAAATATAGCCATAACATTGATTATCACCTGCAACATCTAGAGACCGTACTTGACCAGTTGAAAGGCAAGCGCGTTGTAATTGGAGTGGATTGCAACGCGCACTCGCCACTCTGGTTCAGTGAGGCTGAACAGATCGTAGGTAGGGGCCATGAAGCTGCTTACCGTCGTACTGCCATGGAGGATTTTATAACGTCGCGGGGATTGGTGATAGTCAACGTGGAAGGCCAACCGAGCACCTTTTCGGGTGCAATGGGTGAGTCCAATATAGATGTCACTCTTTCCTCCAGAGGAGTCTCGATCACAGGGTGGCGAGTCCTGGACTACGTCAGCTCGAGCGACCATCGGCTCATAATATACAAAGTTGGAGGAGAACCACATGCGAGGCTCCCGGGGCCGGTGGAGGTCCCTGCCCGTTTTCGGGACCGGGGGGTGAACTGGGGCTTCTTTCGTGGAACTATTCATGTACGAATGGGCGCATTGAAAGTAAGGCAGCCGGCTGATCGTCTTTGTGTGCAGTTCACTGACATTGTGGTTCGATCTGCGGAAGATGTCCTGGGGAGTGCTCGCCCTAGACGGGAGGTCGGCTATGAGTGGTGGACGCCTGAACTTGACAGAATGAGGAAAAAAGTATGTGATGCGAGAAGGGCATGGCAAAAGACTAGAAGAAAAGGAGGCAGGTCTGAGGAATTAGCCATGGAACGATTCCATAGTGTGAGAGCGCGATATAGACAGTTGATGGGGGATACGGAATTGGCCCATTTTAGAAAAATCTCGGAGATGGGAAATGCTGACCCATGGGGACGTGCATATCAGATCTCTAGCGGGAGATATCGTCCTCCCAGTAATATCATTAATGCCATTGAGTACGCGGAGCGACATTCGGGGGGGGTGAGGGAGGCCGTGCGGGGCCTGCTCGGGGCTCTGTGTCCGGACGATGGTTCGTCCAAGGACACTGAGTTTCATGGGCGGGTGCGTCTCATGGCCGCCTTCACCCCATCTGGATCGGCTGCCGTTCCCCCAACCATTGGGTGTTTGGGGGGTATAGTCAGGGCGTTGCCCAACACTGCTCCGGGACTGGACGGGATTGGTGCCAAAATTGTTAAGAATGTGTGGAGAGCTGCACCTAGGGAATTCCACTGGGTGTATGCCAAATGTGTGGAAGAGGGGGTTTTCCCCGAAGTATGGAAGAAAGGACGGCTGATAGTTATTCCGAAAGGTAATGATAGGCCATTAACAGATCCCAAGGCCTACCGCCCGATTACGCTCCTCCCCATCTTTGGGAAGTTGCTGGAGCGAGTTCTGCTGCGGTGTGCTCCGAGCTTGGTGAGGGGCATATCGGAATACCAGCACGGGTTTTCGCCGGGTCGGTCCACGGTAACGGCGCTGCAAGACGTGCTTAGTACTGCGCGCGAGTCGCAGCGCAAGTATGTACAAGCCGTCTTTTTGGACATATCAGGAGCATTTGATAATGCATGGTGGCCAATGATACTGCTGAAGGCAAAACAAGGAGGGATTCCACCTAATATCTACCGCATGTTGGTGGACTATTTCACCAACAGGCGAGTGGGTATATTCGTGGGTGACTGTGCCGAATGGAAACGCTCGACCATGGGTTGCCCGCAGGGATCGGTCCTTGGACCGACCTTGTGGAATTTACTGCTGGATGATTTGTTGAGGCTGCCGTTCCCCTTAGGGACGAAAATGTTGGCGTATGCAGACGACGTGACACTTTTGATAGAGGCGAACTCTAGAGCTGAAATAGAGAGAGCGGCCAAATCTGCACTGGAGTTGGTATCATCGTGGGGAGAGAGGAACCGGTTATCCTTCTCCTCCGCGAAGTCATGTACCATGACCATTAAAGGCAAATTCCAGCGACCACCTGTTATAAGGATGGGGACTGAGTCAGTTAAAAGCGTAACGTCGACCAAGGTATTGGGTGTCACGTTAGACACGAGTCTGTTCTTTATTCAGCACGCCAAAGATATGGGAGAGAGGGCTGGGCGATGCTTTGGGAAGATGTCGCGGGTGTCGGCATCTTCTTGGGGCATACGCTACCCCGCACTCCGTGTTCTATATAAGGGTACATATGTTCCAATAGTGACATATGCTGCAGCCGTTTGGGTTGATCGGGTGGGGAACTATACAGTGCGAACGGCACTGCTGAGATCGCAGAGATCTTCGCTCGTGCTGTTGACAAAGGGGTACAGGACGATAAGTACTGCGGCGCTCCCGGTATTAGCCGGCGTCCTGCCGGCCGATCTGGAGGTAACTCGTGTTGGTAGGATTGACCAGGCGCGTAGAAACGTTGAGAATGGGGAGTTGAGCATGCGTAAGCGCGAAATCTGGGTTGAAGTTATGGATGTATGGCAGGAACGATGGATGAACGAGACGAATGGAAGAGAGTTATTCTGCTTCTTCCCGGACGTGTCGGCGCGGCTCAATGCGAATTGGGTCGTGCCGGACTATCAAGTCTCGCAGATACTCAGTGGGCATGGATGTTTTCGAAAGAGACTGCATGACATGAAATTGGTTGAATCTGGTATGTGTGATTGCGGTGCTGCCTATGAGGATAGGCATCACGTGCTATGGGAGTGCGAATTGTATGATGACCTGAGATGTAAGATGATGGACGGAATGGTACGCAGAGGGGTGGGTCCGGTTTACTACCTGGACCTCGTGGACGGTAAGGAGAGCTTTGGCCGGCTGCGGGAGTTTGCGCATGGTTGGCATGCGCGGAGTATTGCGATGGAGAGGAACGAAGTAAGGATTCTGCCCGGAACCGAAGGCGTAACGTGTTCGTCCAGCCCAGAAAGGGAGAGTGACACTACGGGACAAGGAGTAGATTAAATAACTTGTAGAGAGTCAAGAAAGTGCATGCGGGAAAGAGCCCTGAGCAAGTACCGCGTGCATCTCTCGAGATTCGGCCCGTATAACCGTAAGGTTGGTGGGGCCATGGGAGGTAGAGGGTTGTTCCTCCAGGAACCGCAGCAGGTCCCTAAAGGGGGGCATGTACGAAGCGCCATCCCCGCCGTACCTCTCCTCAAAATGGAGCCGAAGGTCGAGGGGCAGGCGGGACAGCACCATATGAAGGAGCAGAAAAGACCACTCGTCCACAGGTAAATCCAGCCGCCGCAACGAGTTGCACGCTACGACGACTGGATTCACTATGTCCTCACGTAGTCTAGTCCGGTCCTTCAGCAGCGGGAGGTTCAGCAGCCTCCGAACATGATCGTCCGCAATCCGCCGGACGTTGGCGTACCTTCCAGCGAGGAGATCCCTGGCGTTGTGGTAGGCGTCGTCCGACAACTTAAGGTGGCCGACGACGCCCAGGGCCTCCCCCTCCAGGGATGCCAGGAGGTACCCCATTTTTTGGCAGGGGGTCAGGTCCCTCCGGGCGTCCACCAGGCTGTCAAACATGCCGACGAAGGTCAGCCACTCCGAGAGGACCCCGGAGAACCTTGGCAGGTCCAGCGTGGGGAGTCGTCCTAGCAGCTCTGGCTGAGTAGGCGGCTTCCGCGGGGACTCGAGAAGGCTGCTCAGCCGAGCTTCGCGCTCCCTCTCCGCGTCCTTGGCCCCCGCCTCGATCAGGTCGCCCGTTAGCGCGAGGAACTGCTCGTAGTCCGCGCGGCAGGAGTCCAGGACTCCCTTCTCCACCTCCGAGTCCTCGAGCTCAGAGTAAGCCTCCTCCACGGCAGCCCTTCAAGC